CGTGCATTAAAGTGATAATTACACAATTATTATATACATAGGTAGGTGTAGTGTCACATTGTCTATATGAGCAAATCCATACAATGTCATTGCATCTGTGCATTGATGTGTTTTTCTTTGGAACTGCTAGAGCATGATCTATACGAGTACGCATAAATTCGCGGCATGATCTATACGAGTAAATCCATACAATGTCATTGCACCGGTGCATTGACGTGTTTTTCTTTGGTACTGCTAGAGCATACAACATGTTATTCGTTAAACTAGGACATTATATTTTAAATTGGTACTCGCAAGCTATTAATTTCATGTTAAAATCGCTATATTTTGGACCTGAATGGAACATAGGAACCCGAAGAATGCAATTGAGAGGCCATAAATTGAATCTAAACTGGAGATTCAAGGCAATCACTTACTGATCATGATGGATTAAGTATGGATTCCATTGCACTTCCATTAATTTTATAACTTAAAGTCATTACGGTTGCAACATGAATTGTTGAACGCTCAATTTCTTTACACCTTGCTCAATTTTGTGTCAGCATTGAGTCGGACCTCTTTTAGATGACATTGTGACTTCCCTTAATTTATTGAAACTCAATCGAAGTGGGACATTTACGGCAAGCACACGGATGGTTTAAGTACTAATAGTCTAGTATCGATTCCGTCGCACTTCGATAATTTTTGCTTTAACTCTATTAAATGTCTTATAATATTACTAATAACGACAAAGTTTAACGAATCACACGACAAACGAGATCACACGACAAACGAGATCACGTTACAGTGACTATGGGTTCCATCGCACATAATTTATGCACGACATACTAAGTCTTATTAAAAGACGTGACACTCAGTCTGTTCAATGTAATTTAATGATGGATTCCAACACTGTGACACTTCAATAATTTTTTATTCTTTCACACTTCGACAATTTATGTGACTTTAAAGACGAAACAGACATGTCATTGTCGTACATTGAAATGCACTTGAATCAGACGTAGTACACATGACATTGTGTGAAGGCGAAAGTAGATGGTTTATGTATCGATTCCGGCGCACTTTGACAAAAAATCATAAACCGATATGACATTGTCATATGAAACTCAAATTCACGTGAGTACCATGGATTTTGTCTCACTTCAAGAAATGTCGTACCCATAAAAAATTAAAAGTTAAAAATTGTATCGGTAATTAAAGTTCAAAATTGTACCGACACGTGCAAGAAATCGCAATTGCAAGATTGAAGTACGTGTACATTAAACGCTACAAGCCATCTGTACATTGAACTACGTCTAAATTAAACGCTACGAGCCGCAACAATGTAAACTTGCTAAAAATTTAATGTTATCATTTACAAAATTTGAAGTTCCTACCGATGTCCCCACGTTCCTTTAGAACCAAACCAGTATAAGGCATTCATAGACGACCCGAAAACAAGGGTTTGTGGCTGTCCCTTCGTCGCCACCCTCGAGAACACCGAAATGTACTTCATCCTCAGAAACCTATAGGCACCTGCCAAGGACTTACCAATGGCGTCACGCACACAACATGTCACTTGCTCTACCTCATGCCACTTATGAACCTCATCAATTCGACTGACAATCTCTAAATCGGATTGTCAGTTCTCGTACAGAAGGCCCAAATTCTCCATGTTGCGACCATAGATTCTAAGGTTGTTGCAACAAACTAGCACTACAGTGTCTACCAAAGTCCACTTTCAGTTTGAACATGCCACACACAACACTCTGCAGAAGTCGGAACTGGCCACAGACAATCG